AGACTTACAAAGATAAGCATGGGAGTGACTCAAGAACATTAACTTTGAAGGATAGATTTGAATTCTAATCCAAATTGGGAGTATAGAAAGTTGACCCTAAAGAAGTGTGTTAAAGTTAGGCTCTGCTTACAATGCTCCTTAATGTGATGTTGTCAAATTTGCACACGCAAGCATACTTATCAAATAAGTAATATAAACAGTAAGTCTAGATTATTGTTCCCACAAGGATTTATTTCTAAAATTTCACTAAGTACTAAAATTATAAAACATATTAATCTTATTTAAGTAATTTGAAAATTGAAAAAAAAAACTAATTCAAAACCATTAAAAATCAACACTAAATAAACTAACAAACAAAATAAGTTGAGAAAAGCAATATATTAAAGACCTAGGATTATGGGTTTATTTAACATTTCATCTGATACCAGCTTTCTTTGTTATTTATCTTTTTGGGTGGTTTTACCAACCTAGAATCCAAAGCTATAGACAAGTCTCCGTCGAGTTGCTTGTACAAATACATAACTTAATTAGTTCACTATATACCTATAGGAGTAAATTAAATTAAGTTCATTAAGCAAGTGTCCAAATGTGGCTATGTATGGTAATTGATATATGTCCACCTAAATTGCAAATCAAATAACCTAAGTGACATGAGTATACACTATTCAAACTTTAGTCCAATTTAAAATCTCTTTGTCGAGTCTCAATTAGATTAATAAATTAGTTAATTATTCATCAGACAATCAAAAGCATTAAGAATAGATTTGAATAAGTAAAACTACACCCATTAATGATAAATAAAAGAGAAACTAATATTCAAACTATATGTTGAAATCTACTACAATCCTAAAAAAATAATTTACCTCATAATATCTAATAAAAATAATACTGAAAGAAATCTAACCATGAATCCAAGTCAAAGAAAATAAGAAAAACACAAAAGTAGAGAAAGAAACTAATTATTGAAGTTTTGCAATCTCAATTCTTTCTCAAATTCTCTTGTTTTCTTGCTTTGTTCTTGACTCCTTTTCTCCAAAAAAGTTACTTGTTGCCCTCTCCTTTAAACCTTTGAAAAAAGTTTCTTAAATAGGTTCCAAGTAACATAATTTTCAAAATTTCATCAAATTTCTATTTTTGGAATCGGGGTAGCGCCGTGGCCATGATTTCTTGGCATCGGGACCCAAGACGAACTTTGGTAGTGCTACGACACTATTTCTTTAGCGCGGCCATGGTTTTCTAGCTCCGCGGCGCTCGTGCCTTATTGCCTTAAGTGCAGAATTGCATCTGTCTATCAACTTTGAATGTGATTTTCACCTCGCTCTGGTCTGAATTGGGCAAAGTGATAAACATGAAAATTTCAACCCTGTCTCTTAACTTTCCAATGACTCAAGAATTGTATCCATTGGACTTCTGGATTGAAAAATGTGCTCCAAACACCATCATAGTGCTTCAACTTAGACAAATATTTCAACCACGATTCTATCAGAACTAGGTGAAGTGAAAACATAAAAGTTGTAACCCTTCCTTTTAGCGTTCCAGTGGCCAAGAATCACTTCATATAGAGTTCTATAGAGAGAGATATGATCAAAATACCGTAATATATACCAATGAAACTATTATCATATTTGCACAGATTTTCATCAAATGAGCCATTTTCATCAAATTTTCTACAAAAGCAATAAAAAAAACCAGCAATAACTACTCTTAAAGTAATTTAAAATAAAATAACATAAAATTTAACTAAAATAACTTAAATTAACTATTCAACATATAATCAAACTTAAACTAAAAAAGTACTTAAAATGCTACGACTCAAACCTACAATCTCAAAAGTTTAGCTACTTAAACCTTTAAAATATATCAAAATAACTCTATATAATAGAGTTATCGTGTGAAAAATTAGTTTTCAGTTTGGATAAGTAGTGCTGTGTGCTAATTAGATTTCTTTTACTTGGTGATTATTTAGTTTCTTTTATTTGGTGGTTATTTGGTTTTTGATGTTGGTCATGTTTTGGTAGTTAAAGCAAATGTAAGGGACAATCTACAAACTTAATGGTGTGGTAATCCCAAGTAATGCTATTTATTTATTTATTTTTTTTATTTTACCTGTTTGTTTTTAATATTATCTTTTATAAGGCTATAAAAACCTTTATCCTTATTAATGAAAACTATGTAATTATCTTCCTCCTTTGATTTTAGCACTCAACAATCTCTTAAGTCCCTCAAAATTCTAACATTATTGCTTCAGAATAGTTTTTTTTTTTATCTAGCTCTCCATTGAGTCACATTTTTCGAGAAGAAAAGGGGTTGAATATAAAAAAGTGATTCATCTGCGTAAGACATATAAATGCTTTTATTCAATCATTCTTGACTAATGAGTTGTATTAGTTTTCAAGTGGTAGAGATACATAATTTTCTATTATCATTGATTACTCTATTTGTTGAATAGGATAACTTTATGCAGAGTTTGTCAAGGGAGTAGCGGTTTCTTCTCAATCAAGTTGAGCTATAAAACAATATGTAAAGCAGGGCCGTTTTTAAAACTTGACCGAGTTCTTTCATATATACACAAAAAGTGAAGAAGAAAATTAAGAGCGGAGGAGACGTAAGACGTTAAATCAAGAGTCATTGGGGGGCCAAAGTTGTGCGCAACCCGTTGTGGCCCGTGACAGATGTCTAAGCACTCTCGGTCTTTTTCTTATCCGGAACAGAGTGTAAAGAGATCCTATCTGATTGTAGAAATAAAAAGGACAAACAGATAGCTTGTACATGAGAAGCCATATGTGTAATTTAATTGAACTGTAGTTAGTAGTATTAACTATAGTTAAAAGAGTTTAGTTGATAATGATTGGTTAGTAAACCGTTGTAGTTAAAGATCCATATATATAGAAAAATCTTGTAGTAAGATCTGTTTTTGACTAAAGTAATAAAATTTTTAGTTACATGTCATATTTTCTCTTTCTCTTCTTTTCTTTTCTCATGATTTCCCTTGATCTTCTCTGGTTTTTTTCTTAGCTGAATAGTATTGATCAGTCGTGGAATTCCATCACAGAGCAAAGGAAATGATCAAATGATGGGACCATTTGAATGGGAAGCAGAAAGAGACAATCTTGACCGCATGATTTTTTTAAGTTAGCCAAGATATCAGGACTAGTTGTGGCAAGCGTTAGAATCTGTATACCAGGATTATCGTTTTAGTATAACTACTACTCGTTCTTTTTTAACAATTTAGCTTACTCTTTAAGAAACTTTCAAGGCGTTAAACAACACATTTTTATCTTATTTCTCCTTTTTTATACAACTCTACTAATTGACACAACCCAAGATTTCAAAGTTCTACACGTATCTCTCTACCAAGGTGGAATCAATTTACAGATTGAAAGGAAGATTTTTATCTTCAACAAAGACATGACAGATGAGATTATGACATTTATTTAATCTGAAAAATAAGAGAGCGGGCATGGCTTAGTAAATGCGGGTGTAAAGTGTTTGGACGTTAGAAAAAATGGATCTAATCAATGCAAACTTTATTCAACACGTCCTTTTTTAGTAGTAGCTGTGAGTGAGCACTAAAAAGCAGGGCCCGTGACTTTGCCGTCAAGACTTGGATTTTAGCTGTTGACTCTCTTAAGGTTTAAGTCCACGGATGATTCCCTATACTGCAAGCCTCGAGTAAAAAACAGAAGAAAATTCGGTCTCTTCGTACTCTTTAGAGTGATAGTATGAAGAAAATTCATGTTCCAAGAAGATGAGAAGAACTTCTATATGGTCAGTAGTTCACATGCTCTATGTCGTCTTATTTTGCTCTACAATTTTGATATTATCTTCTCCTCATTGCTGCTCTGCTAGAGATAATATAAGAGTGAAAAGTAGGCTAGGCTATGCACAAACTCTTGTTTCAGCTGGAAATAGATTTGAATTGGGGTTCTTTGACCCATCCAGAAGCTCCAATGTGAAGAGATATGTAGGGATATGGTACACCACCAATCCTCAAACAGTTGTTTGGGTTGCTAATAGAGGAAAACCCCTTTTAGACAATAGTGGAGTTTTATCTATTGCAGATGGAGACCTCAAATTATCCGATGACAAAGGGATCGTTTATTGGCAGACAGATCTTGGGCTCAAACGTTTGAACCTTGTGGCAAAGCTCGAGGATACTGGTAACTTAGTTCTGCTTGAGGATCTGTCAAAGGGGAAATATTTATGGCAAAGCTTTTGCGAACCAACGGATACATTTCTTTATGGTATGAAGATGGATGAAAATTTTAAATTAACTTCATGGACCAGTAGAGAAGATCCAGCACCGGGAAACTTCACTTTCAAGCAAGATCCGGCAGAAGAGAATCAGTTTGTTGTCACGGAAAAAATTATCACTCACTGGAGATCAATGAGGCCAGAGTCAGCTAAAATCTTTAAATCGAATGAAATGTATTATACAATACTCGACTTTCTCAATTTGACAGGGAAAAACCGAGAAATTTACAATCATACAAGAATGGTGATGAATCTCAATTTGACAGGAAAAACCGAGAAATTTACAATCATACAAGAATGGTGATGAACTTAACCGGAGATTTACAGTACTGGCAGTTGGATATAGACACGAAAAAGTGGTCCTTAACGTGGTGGGTTCCGAAAGATATATGCGGTGTGTTCAATTTTTGTGGGAACTTTGGCATCTGTAATAGCAAGAATAAGTTACCATGCAAATGTTTGCCAGGTTTCAAACCTAATTTCCCAGAGAAATGGAAGGCCGGAGATTTTTACGATGGTTGCTCCAGAAACTATACACGTGGCCATGACTTCTTGCACTTGAAAAAGATGAAAGTGGGATATCTAGGCTCATCGTATGAGGCTAAGAATGAAACAGAGTGCAGAGAGGAGTGCCGTACGAGGCGCCTGTGCCAGGCATATTCATATTCATATTCCGTCCAAAGAAACCCTAATTCATGCTTGACTTGGGAACAGGATATCAAAGATCTTCAGGAAGACCAAGATGGTGGCAATGATCTTTACGTCCGTGTGGCGAGGTCAGATATAGGTACTTCACTCTTCAAATAGCACAGACAAATAGTTTTGTTTTGCTAAGTTAGCAAGGATACTCTATAAAATTAGTAAGAAAGTGATACCAATGTTCCTTTGAGGTTAAAATGAGCCTAAAAAATGCTCAGATAAAACTAACTTTAGAATGCATACTGTTCTCTCTTCTTTTTTTTTTTTCGAAACAGCATGCTGCTACTCTAAACTTCTTTGGATGATTAAGCAACTTATTATTCAAGAAACAAATTATCAAGGCTGCAAGTGCGAGCAGCTAATAAAACAGAAAAAATAAACATAAAAAACTACTCAAGATACTACCTTAATGTATTGTCACCCCAACCAGAACAAATCTGCCTGTTAACAATATGGCTAGCATCATTTATTAAAATGTCAATCTAATTCCAACAGGAAAAAGACAAAAAGAATCACTTCAATAAATCTTCTGTTTTAGCAAATGCAGCGAAATAGCAGCATTTGAAGAGTATCCTAAGGTTTACACACCTAAAAAAGGAAAAAGAGTAAGGCACACCAGAGGGAGTGTATCGTAAGGCAAATCTTCAGAGTTTTTGGTTTTTACCTCTTGCAAGAACAATTAGTAAAGCAACTCTCAAGTAAAAGCTTGATTTAACTAGATCTATACTACTTTGCAGAACCAACAGGTAGAAATTGTGAGACTTGTGGCACGAACTTGGTCCCTTATCCCCTAAGCACTGGACCAAAATGCGGTGATCCCATGTACTCCAGATTCTACTGCAATAACGATACATACCAGCTAAGCTTCATTGCACCTAGTGGCAACTATAATGTCATCAGTGTCGATCCAGAGGCACGAATATTTGTTATTCAAATGCAATCCAGAAACGCAGATAATTGTACTTTTATGAAATCATCAGGAAGCAGAATTCTGCAGCTCAATGAATCATCGCAGTTCAATGTGACCAGCTGGTGCAGTAGTGATCTAGGGAACTTTACTACTGATTCTTCACTAATTGATACAGTTGAAGTAGAGATTAGTTGGGTGCCGCCGTTAGAGCCAATCTGTTCATCATCTGCTGAATGCAAGGATTGGCCTAATTCAACTTGCAATACAAGAGAAAATGGACCAAAACAGTGCCTTTGCAATGCTAACTTCCTTTGGAATGGCTCGGCTTTAACCTGTGCTCCAGGTTAGGATTAAATTTGATGTATAAAATTGAAGGATAGCACTTACCTCTCACAAATGGCCAGTCAGTTTTGGGTTGTTGCGCCAGAAGCACAATTGACATGATATTCTCTGACCTATTTTATGCATCTTTACTTGAAATCAGTAGCAGAGTCTTTTCATGGAAACAAGTTACTCTCTCTGATCCTTGGAGTTTCTCTGGCAAATGCAATGGTCTTTTTGTGCGCCGTTGTTTCTATTTGCATGTGGAGAAGAAAGGTGGTTAAAAGTCGAGGTAAGTATGGTGCATATTATACTCTGTCCATATCCAATTTCTTCCACCAACTACTGGATTAATGTCAAACTTTTCCTTATCAGATTTATATATTGTTTGTTATAACGAAGGAGTACTGTTGTTGCATCCACAACAATTTTTGTTTCTTGTAAATTCAGTAAAACAAAGAAAAGCTGCTCTTCATCGGTATGACACCGAAAGAGGTGTTAAAGAGCTAATAGACTCGAACCAATTCAAAGAACCAGATGGGACGGGCATAGACGTACCTTTCTTTGATTTTGAAAGCATACTAGCTGCAACAGACAATTTCTCAGAAGAAACAAACTTGGAAAAGGAGGCTTTGGGCCGGTTTACAAGGTATTGTTTTCGAGACTTTCAGAAGTTTTAAGTCATTTATTCTTAATGGTGCGATTATTTTTACAAAGGCTACGATCCCAGGGCAAGTTTCCAGGAGGTCAAGAAATTGCTGTAAAGAGGCTCTTAAGTGTATCAGGACAGGGCCTGGAGGAATTTAAAAATGAGGTTGTGTTGATTGCAAAACTTCAACATCGGAATCTTGTGAGACTATTGGGCTACTGCATAAGAGGAGAGGAGAAGATTCTACTCTATGAATATATGCCCAACAAAAGCTTAGACACCTTGATATTTGGTTAGCCGCTCGAAACCTTAACTGTAATCTTGTTTGAACCTGATTGAATTTTTTTTATTTTACTAATATAGAGAAACCAAAAAGAAAAAAGAAAACATAGAAAGGCATGTTATAGGGTCACTGATATTCGTTATGGTCTTTGATGACGAATTTTAAAGATGAATCATTTAGCCAGCAATTGGATTGGGAGACACGCTTCAATATCATTTTGGGAATTGCTAGAGGATTGCTTTATCTTCACCAAGATTCCAGACTGAGAATCATTCACAGAGATCTGAAAACTAGCAACATACTACTGGATGCAGAGATGAATCCGAAAATATCTGACTTTGGCCTTGCAAGGATGATCCAAGGCAAACAAACTGAAGCAAACACACATAGAGTAGTTGGAACATAGTGAGTTGCAAATAGTCTTTTTTAGAGCAACCCAAAATTAGTTTCTATTTTCCAGCTGCTTTCAACCAAGAAATTTATGAAAAGAAAAATGAAAGTAATGCACTTCTAATCATAGAGATTGTTGTAAAATGCAGTGGATATATGGCACCAGAATATGCGTTAGATGGACTTTTCTCAATAAAATCCGATGTTTTCAGCTTCGGTGTAGTCATGCTTGAAATTGTTAGCGGAAAAAAAAACATGAGATTTTACCAGGTGGAATATGCCCCAAGCCTAATTGGTTATGTAAGTAGAGTTAAAATTTTCTTCTCTTTAGTCCATTTCAACTTTCCGTTTCCATGCCAACTGCAATTTTTTTAATTTTGTTCCAGGCATGGAGATTGTGGGAAGAAGGCAAGGCATTGGATTTAATGGACGAGACAATGCGGGCAAGTTGCAATGCAAGTGAGTTTTTAAGATGCGTACATGTTGGGCTGTTATGCGTGCAAGAAGATCCCAGCGATCGCCCCACCATGTCGAATGTTGTCGTCTTGCTTGGTAGCGAAACTGTGAGTCTTCCAATTCCTAAGCAGCCAGCGTTTGTGACAAGGAGAACCCTTTCTACCACAGCTTCTACCTCTAGTAAAGCTGAACCCAGTTCTGAAATCACCTCTACTCTCGAAGAAGGTCGATAATTGTGAAGTATCTCATGAGTTGTGTATATTATCTGTGTTTTTCGAGATTTCTGATTTGAGACTTGCATTGAAGACCCTGGCAAGCTTCAATCATATGGCTGAGTGGTTATGTTTTTGTTGCTTAGTATTTTGACAGTTTTTTGCTATTTTTGTTAATGTCATACATACTCCAATGCACGTTTAGAGTTGATATTTACCTCTTCAATTGAGTTAGTTTGATGCAGCAACAAAAACGATGTTGTAAGATGGCTTTAAGCTTTTCTATTCATGCAAATATCAGGTAATGAAGTTAAGCAATTCTCAGTCCCTTTTCTCAGTTTTTCTTGTTTTTCAACTTTGATATTCAATGTTTTACTGTAATTCTTTTTATTTTTTTATTTTTTGAGTTCATTGACTAAACATTAAGCTCAGCTTGAATGCAGCTATTCTCATTGCATTTCCTCATGGAATGAGAGCCTTTTATAGTTTTAAGGGTCTAGTAGTAAGATATATATCTTGAACCCGAGACATGATATGGATATATTACCTCGAAACTAAGCTCTAAAGTAATATGAAGTCTTTCTATCTATCATTCATATAAAATTTTACAATTGAATTATATTGACAATTCTGTTCAGACATATTCAAATATATAACTATTATAATCCAACTAAAATCTCCAAAGTAATAAATTAAACAATTAAAACTTAAATATCAATTACACATAATAAGTGATACAGAGTATGTTGTTAAGTTACTTGCACATTAAGTTAAAGAAGATTATTTAGATTACTTGTGCATTAATATAAGTTAGGTTAAATTACCTTTTACTTTACTTGCACTCCAAGGTTATTTTTTTTATTTATTTTTATCTAAGAATTGTAATAGTACCACATAGGAAAAGTAAGAAGGCTCTCTTTTTTAGAAATAATTATATAAAATCTTATTGGATTAATTTCTAAACACATTGAAATTGAGAATTAATAAAAATATCGTTTTTAGTAAACGGGAGTGCTTATTCTTAAAGTGTGATGTTTAATTAATGCATTGAGTCAATTTAATGCAGCAACAAAAGCAAGGTTGTAAGATGGTTTTAAGCTTTTCTATTCATGCAAATATCAGTTAATGAAGTTATAACCTTTTCTCAATTTTTCTTGTTTTTTCAACTTTGATATTTAATGTTTTACTGTAATGTTTTTTTTTTTTGGAGTTCATTGATTAAACATTAACCTCAGCTTGAATGCTGTTATGTGCTCTGTCTTCATCCATTCTAGGGAATAGCATCCATTCCTCATCTTTATTGTTAATAACTCTTCACTATTTGGATCAAAAATAGTGTAGTAATTATTCTTAAATAGTAAAGCTAAATGATTCTTAACAAGTTGGCCTACACTACGCAAGTTTTCTATTACCTCAAGAACAAGGTAAACTTTTGAAATATGTTTGATACCGGAAAGTCTCTAGTGCCACGGTTCCTGTTCCAAGAATCTTCATGTAAAAGCCATTTCCAATCTTAACCTGTGCTCTGTACCTTCAGTCCAATACATTTAAGAGCATATCATTTCCTATCATGTGATTGGAACGCCCATTATCAAGGAGCCATGTGTTTTTCTTCTCATTATTAGAAATCTTAGCTATGAGCAACTACTCCTTTGCCATATTAGTTTCTTCAACTACTGTTGCCTTTTCATCAGCATGATTGCCCTTGAATTTCTCTATATGGCCAAGCTTGTTACAGGACGTACACTTCACCTTAAATCTGCACTAATAAATTTTGGAGTATGATTCCTCTTTTTGCGATATTGACATGGGAAAACTTGTTACCTTGTTTGTTTGATTTCCCATCACCTTTTCTCCACTCATTGTTTCTCTCATATCATTCTTTCTTTCTTGGGTTGTAGCCACCAATTTGAAGATCCTTGGTCTTCATTTTTAGAGCATTTTAGTTACATCATCATTGAGATGGGTCCTCGTTTGTTCTTGAACTTGTAAAGCATTTAAGCTCTATCACCTAGAGTTGAAAAAGGTCTTTGGAGTCCTCAAGTGAAGAGATCTTTGCTTCAAACTTTTTCGGTAAACTCACTAGAATTTTGTTGATGATCTTGTGGTTTGACAGCTCTTTACTAAGGAGTTTAAGTTACTTCACCAACTTCATAATCTTATCTGAGTATTCTTTCATACTCTCATCATCTTCCATTCGCAAAATCTCAATCTCTTTGTGTAGATTCAAGGCTTGCATCTGACGAGTCCTTTTGCTATCATGAAATTCCTCTTTCAAGCAATCCCAAGTATTCTTAGGTGATTCACAAGTCATTATTCTTGAAAAAATAGTATTTGACACAATTGAATGGATACAAGAGAGAACCTTAAATTTTTTTGCCACTTCCTTGTTGTATTGCTTCATATGCGACTGCTATGGGATTGGGCCTTCATTCTAGTGACTCAACTCCTACCTCCACAACCTCCCATAGATCAAAGGCTATACATCTTCATCTTCAAGGCCTAGATGGCATAATTTTTTCCTATAAATACAAGTAGAGTAGCGACATTGAAACTAGTTGACGCCATAAATTTTCATGCAGATGTTTTTCTAATGGAAGATATAAGATGGTAAGGTTAAGTATTCTAAGAAAAATTTATTTCACAGGTCCCTTGAGAACAAGTGAAAAGCTTTGAGAATTGAGTGAAACGAAAGAGAAAAACAAGTGCCAATACTTTCAGAACAAGGATTGATTCAATATAGTTCTGACTTTTGATTCAAGACCAATGAACGTCAGGAGAGAGAAAAGCTAAAACTGCCCACTAAAACACTACATAAACGAAAACTATCAATGAACATAAAAACAAGGGGCACGATTTACAAGTGTCCGATCACCAATTACCCACGGGCCTATAGAGTAAAACACCTGGGCACCTCCAAACGTGTTGCATGTAACTGGCAATAAACTAAAACATAACATGAAGCATAAATCCAAGTCACGTGACTTTCTCTGTGACATTGTCTTCTTCACTTTCAGCTTTTGGATTGCATCAGACTTTTGTTTCAGAGTGAGTTCTAGCTTCATCAATAAGTTTACCTTTTTTTGCAAGTTTCATGATTTTGATACGGATCTTTCTTGAAAACATTTGAGATAACTTCTCTCATGTTTCTTGAGAAGTCTTTGTTGTGGCAATTAGGGGGACAACTGCCGTTGAAAGTGATGCAATAATGGCATGTAGTAAGAACTAGTCTTGCCTCTACCATAAGTTATAATTTGGATTTAAGGTAAGTGTATTATGTTGAAATTGAGATCACTTTGAAAACATTTTTGGTGCTAAACTCTTTTTGAAGTCTTTTTGTGGATGCTTACTTGATATGCTTTGTGTTTTCTGTCTAGATATGTTCGTGGTAGACAATTAGAAATGGTGTCAATTGACTTTTATGTAATCCCTCTTACTTCTATCATTTCATTATGCATTGCTTGCAACCTCAGCTTTATGGTGACTTGTGTTTCCTTCAGTTTTGCTTACCAAATACTCGTATGTTATATTCCTTTTCGTCACGAATTGCTTGCTATAATTAATAGTATATTTCATTCTACAACATTTCCTTGAGTAAATTACAGTTATCACGGTTGACATTAGGAATAAAATTGCTTTTGGAATTACCACTTCTATAAGAGTAGTTACCTTTGGTTTTATTGGTTGAAGAAGCATAATTGGTCGTGACAGAATATGAGTCCTCCTGTTTAAGTGTTGTTTCATAGTCTCTCAACTTCTCATGAAGCTCTTGAAAGCATGTGGCAAATTCACAAGCTTTAATGGTTCCGAAAGTTCTTTGAAGTTTGGCCCAAGACCTTTGAAAATGAAGATAATCAAACCTTCTATGACTTCCTTCTTGGGGTGACAAGGTTAAACGTTTTTTTCAGGGACGTGATTTTGGTACGGGTCTTGCTTGCAAACATGTGAGATAACTTCTACCATGTTTCTTGAGAAGACTTTGCCGTGGCGATAGAGGGACAATTGACTTCGAAAGTGATGCAATAATGGTCTTGTGGACAAGGGGTCTTGCCTATACCATACGTTATAATCTAGATTTAAAGTAGGTGTATTACTAGAGGTAATCATGGACAAGGGGTCTGGCCAATAATATAGCCTATAAGATCATGCCTCGCAAGAAGGGATTAAAACTAAATTTTCCATCATAAAGGTCAGTTTGAGAGGAAATTGAGCTATTGTGTTTATGGAAACGACAGCATCACCGGTGCCGAAAATGGCTTAAGGAAAAACTGTTTGCTGCTGTCATGATAACAACTAGGGGATCAAAATGCTAACTAAACGAGAATTGCTCCGATAGCATAAAAAACTGAAGGAATTGTATTGAATAGGGCTGTGATTCATTCATAACTGATCTACAAGTATTTATACAAGTGTAATGTTATATGGTTTGAGTTTGAATGATTTGATCAAAATCATATCAGGTCAATAGAGATTGATCTTTTATAGACTTAAACTTAAACTGAAATTTCTTTGTTCAGCTAACTTGGTCTATAGATTGTTGATTTGCAATTGATCTTTTCGTTTCATGTTAAATGATTTGCTGGTTTGAAGTTTACTTTCTATAAATGTTACTAACAATTAAAATATTAGTTGGTCGAATCTGACGTGGTCATTTTCTTGTGTGCACGTTCAACTATTATTAAATTTGGATTAAGCACATCTTTTACAGTACTAATATCTTGAGCGAAATTATTATGTATTCGGCAAAAGGACAACAAAAGAAAATCGTTGGCCGAGCTTGTGGGTGAAATGGAGGGCTGAAGAGGTCCAAGTCAAGATGTGGATGAGACGGTCCATAAAAGTGAGTGGGACTCACAGGGCAACGGCGGGCAAGATGACCCGACCCGTCACTTCGAAGTAAGCATTGCGTCATGCGTCAGTCATGGCATTGCCAAGCCATCGGGCAAAATAAAGAAGTTGGGAAGCCCACGTGAAAATCTTACAACTAGCTGCTAAGGATTTTGGAAGCGGTTCAATAAGTAAACAAATAAGGCCCCGGGAACGTATGGTCAACGTTTCTTTTCAACTTCCACATTTGAAATAATCCAACTTTCTCTTAACCAAGCATTGTCATACAAACCATATCTCTGTTGCTAGCTTTGTCTAAAGTTGGTTTAGTCTAAGCTGTTTCCAATTTGTTAAATTTGGTTGCTTTTGAGTATGTTATGGTCCTCAATTTCCGGATGTCTTGTTTTTTTCTTTCGAAAGGCCCACTTTCTGGATGTCTTAATTTAGTTCCTCAAAGCATCTGATCTGCATTTTAACAACCCATAATTTTTCGCTACAAGTGAATCAAAGGCAAAGTTCTCTATATATTTCCAGTCATGGGCATTCATATCTTTACTCTTTCAAGGACAAACAGCTGCGGGTCTGGGTTGCCCTCTCTCCATCTCGTGAATCCTGCCCATAGCATCATCCATCAAAAAAGGGTGAAGTTCTTTTGAGTCCCCCTTGGTTCCTCCAATATACCTGCCAGATTACACTGGACGAGCTGCTGTTTAGATCCTGGCAGCAGATGAAAGCGACTGCCACACAATTGGCACTGATGAACTTAGGCCCGGGCTGGCATTGCACTTCCTAGAAAGCCAGAAACATTGATAATAGTCTAAATGGGTCCTTGTCATCAAATATAAATAAGCAGAAATGAACAGAGGAAGTATATGGAGTCCCGCGTAATTATATCTTAATCACGCAAGAGGACGAAGAAAATAAAGTGAAGGGCCCCTCTTATGAAAAGATGAAAAGAAACAAAATCCAATGACCATGACCTCTTTGGCCAAAACAAAGACCTTTCACCACACTTACTCCCCTGCCACTCCTACCATGCGATCATTCAACTCAAGCAGTGTACATCACGATCTAAAATTGCTTATTCTAGTAGTATTAATTATATCCCTCTTCAATCTCTTCTAGTCTACTGAAGCATTCATTTAATTTGAAGCCTTTTCTCCCTCTCCCATTTGTTCGAATGTTCGTAAGCTTTGCCTTGTTATTATACTACATGAAGTAAGTTACAAGTTTGTTTTTGAGAGAGACATTGGAATTCAACTCATCCTTTCTCACCCTCTCTTTTTGCCTTCTTTTCCTGAATTTGACCGCACGGTGTGCGATCTTGAGTGATTTAAGGTAAGCTGAAGAGTGAATATTTTTAACTGAGATCAAGATTTGGCCCCAAGATCAATTTAACTTGGCCACATCAAAAGACATTGCGAGTGTTTCCCAGGTGTATAGACCAACAGTTGAATATTGTTAGACTAACCACATTCAATCTTAAATAGAATTGGCGGTGCTTTCTTTCCCTAGGATAATATACCTGGAAAAGCATGAGAGTAATCGGTACGTTAAACCTTTCTGTCAAATTTCCAAATCACGAAGGAAAACTTATTATTATATGATACTGTCGCTATTTGCTTTAGTTTAGTTCTTCAACTATGCGAATGCGACAATATTTCACCAGCCTCTTGACAGTCGATTCCATGCACAGTATTAGCTGCTGACCAAGCTACCTTGTGATTGTGGGGGCGTTTTAGATAATGGAAAACAACAGCAGAGCACTTCTGCATAGAGAAGAGAATATGTAAATTTCTGCAGAACCTGTGGAAACGGGTGATTTGGTAAGCCAATGAATGCCGCCTACTTTTTATCTTCCATTATAATTATACGCGAAAGAAGTAAGATCAACAGCCAAAAAAAATCAAAAAATCATTACTACATTGTTTGTAAGGCGCAGATGCTGCCCACATTCTTTTTACACACATTTCTGTTTTGCGCTTCTCTTCTATGTTCTTCAGCTAAAGAGATCATAACACTAAACAGTTCGATCATTGATGGAGAAGGAGAAAGTCTAATTTCACCAGGAAAAAAATTTGAACTAGGATTTTTTACTCCTAATGGAAGCTCTAACACCAGGAGATACGTGGGGATATGGTATTTTGGTTCAAATCAGCAAACAGTTGTATGGGTTGCCAATAGAGACAAACCACTTTTAGATGATAGCGGAGTCCTTGTTGTTTCGGAGGATGGCAACCTCAAGGTGCTGGATGGAAGTGGGAAATCTTTATGGTCAACGAATCTTCAAGCAGTGTCTTCTGGATATATAAAAGCCAAGTTAACAGATGCTGGGAACCTGGTGCTGAGCAATAAAGAAAAAGAAAGCAGCTCAGTAAGCATTATCTGGCAGAGTTTTGAAAATCCAACTGATACATTTCTTCCAGGCATGAAAATGGATGGAGACATGATACTAACTTCTTGGAAAAGTTATGATGATCCAGCTCCAGGGAATTTCACATTTCAAATAGACCAGGAAAGAGTTAACCAATTCATCATATGGAAAAGAACAACCAGGTATTGGAAAAGTGGTGTTTCGGGTAGATTCATTGGTCCGGATGGGATGCCCTCAGCCATGCCATCGGCAATTTCTTTCTTTTTGTCAAATTTTACCTCAGTTGTACTCCATAATGAGTCCATGCCTCATCTTACGTCATCATTATACAGTGATACAAGGTTGATTATCAGTTTCTCCGGTCAAATTCAGTATTTTAAGTGGGATTCTGAGAAGATCTGGGCATTGATTTGGGCAGAGCCCAGAGATAAATGCAGTGTCTACAATGCATGCGGAAATTTTGGTAGCTGCAATAGTAATAATGACTTGACGTGCAAGTGTTTGCCTGGCTTTGCACCTAGCTCCCCGGAAAATTGGAATAGCCAGGATTATTTTGACGGATGCACTCGAAAGTCAAGGATATGTGACAAGAATGCTGCGAGTGACACATTCTTGAGTTTGAAGATGATGGAAGTGGGGAATCCAGACTCTCAATATAATGCTAAGAGCGAGGTGGAATGCAAATTAGAGTGTCTTAACAACTGTCAGTGCCAGGCTTATTCGTATGAAGAACTTGATTTAGAGCGACAAAGTGAGAGCAGCATTGCTGCATGCTGGATATGGTTGGAAGATCTCAACAATATTCAGGAGGAGTATGAAGGTGGCCGTAACCTTAATGTCCGGTTAGCAGTTTCTGATGTAGGTATAACTCTTTCCCTTCTGAAAATTGCTTGATTTCAGGATTCTTGAATGAATTTTGCTTTATGACAGTCCCCTTTCTGACTCAGATGCCATCTATAGATTAGATATGGCAATATACACCCTATAGAATGAGAAACTTAGATAGGCCTCTCAGGCCATACCAAACTGAAGTTCTCAACCTTTTGAAACAACGTTTTCCATTTGATAATGTGAGTTCCTGCTTTAGGGAAACTTCTTGTCTTTCTGATTCGAGTACGCTGCTTGATTTCTCAGACTAATATGGCCTCAAAACTTCCATGACTACTGGTTAAATGGTAGTTGACTATTTGATGAACAGCATGGTGTCTGTCTATTGTGGTACTGTAGCGTAAAAAAAATGTAATCCCTGTGAAAATATGTTGGTAACTGTAGAAATCGCTCTGTTTGTATCAGAGAATTTTTAATGCGTCTATTATATGCTACCACGTGGACTTACAGGCTAGTTGTATGAGGTAGTCTTGTGTCCTATTTTGATTTTTAAATCGTTTTTCAATAAGAAATGGCAAAGAGCTCATGATCTGAATTTCAAGTCATTCTATATCTGCAGAATCAACAAGAAGAAGTTGTGAAACTTGTGGTACAAACCTGATTCCCTATCCACTTAGCACTGGGCCTAAATGTGGCGATGCCATGTACCTCAGTTTTCACTGCAGCGTCTCTTCAGGGGAAGTTACCTTTTATGCGCTCAGTGGCACCTTTAGAGTAACAAGCATAAATTCAGAAACACGAAAATTTATCATTCAAACCAATGACGCAAATGATTGTAAGGCTGGAAATTCAGGAGACAGTTCCTTTCAGTTCAAGCAGCCATCGCCCTTCCATGTTACGAGTAGGTGCAATGCGGATGAAGTAGAGGTAGGCTGGGATCCTCCTCTGGAACCAACTTGCTCTTCACTTGCAGATTGCAAAGATTGGCCAAATTCATCTTGTAATGTAACAAGTGATGGAAAGAAAAGGTGCCTCTGCAATGAAAGCTTTCGATGGGATAACTTAAGCCTGAATTGCACTGAAGGTAAGAATGATTTAATTAACTAACTAATTCAATGGACGCCATGCTTTGCCATACAGAAGTTTAGTTTGTTTTCTTGATAATGAATGAATTAAATCATTTATGCTTAGGGAAATGGTACTGCAAAGGTTCAATTCGATTAATTGCCAATCTGCATATTCTAATGTCCAGAGTCAACTTAGCACGGCAGTCTTTCATTAATATGTTTAGTAATAACGCTCAGACCAAAACTCTGAAGATTGATGCAAATAACTTTCATTTAGCTTTGGCATTAGTATCATCTAATATCATTTTCTAAACATGCTTGCCAGAAAAGCAGAGATAGAATTATATACATGTGACCTAGATTTATATATGAAAAATGGTCCTTAATTCTTTACTCTTGCAGACCGTGCTTACAGAAAAAAGAGATACAAGTCTTCCGCCAGAAAGATAGCTTTATCTCTGATCCTCGTATTAGCTTTTCTTAGCGGAGTTGTTCTAATCATTCTGTCAAGCACCATTGTTTATGTTTACTTGCAGAGGAGAAAACTGGCCGAGGGAGAAGGTAATTAGCAGCCTCTTGTTTTTTTTCTTTTTCCAGAAAATGAATCACAAAATCTAGGGCTATTCAGTTTGGTTGCAAGGTATAAGGTTTATCTTTGAATATAGGGATCTGGGGAAACATTCACAGAAATTCTGCACTGCACTTGTACGACAGTGAGAGACATGTCAAAGACTTGATTGATTCAGGACGGTTTAAAGAAGATGATACTGACGGTATAGAGGTGCCATTTTTTCAGTTAGAAAGTATACTAGCTGCTACAAATTACTTCTCTAACGCAAACAAGCTGGGGCAAGGTGGATTTGGGGCTGTTTACAAGGTAATAGCCCTTAATTTAGTGCTCTTTTAAATTCCTTAATTTTGTTTAGTTAAATATTGAATGGGACTCAACTACCAGGGAAAGTTTCCCGAAGGGAGAGAAATTGCTGTAAAGAGGCTCTCAAGCGGTTCAGGACAAGGTTTAGAGGAATTCAAAAATGAAGTTGTGCTGATTGCAAGACTTCAACATCGAAATCTTGTTAGACTTTTAGGCTATTGTGTTGCAGGAGATGAAAAGATGTTACTTTATGAATATATGCCTAATAAAAGCTTAGATTCCTTCATATTTGGTGAGTATTCACAACGATTTCTAATGTTTATTAGCATTATAAATTATCTTAACATATGATTCCATAGAAACTGAATAGTTACTAAAGATATGTTCTTGAATGGAAATGAGAACCTTACAAGATCGGAAGCTAAGCATTCTGTTGGACTGGGATATGCGGTACCGCATCATTTCGGGAATTGCTCGAGGCCTTCTATATCTCCACCAAGATTCAAGGTTGAGGATAATTCACAGAGATCTGAAAACGAGCAACATTCTTCTAGACGAGGAGATGAATCCCAAAATTTCTGACTTTGGCTTGGCAAGGATTTTTGGTGGCAAAGAAACTGCTGCAAACACAAATAGAGTAGTTGGAACTTAGTAAGTTATACTTGAATGATAGAATCATAAAGCCTGATTGATTATATTGGTAAAACAGTTTCTAATCTGTCAGTTCTGATGAGGCAGTGGCTACATGTCCCCTGAGTACGCACTAGACGGACTTTTCTCATTCAAATCAGATGTCTTTAGCTTTGGTGTTGTTGTAATTGAGATCATCACTGGAAAGAGGAACACAGGATTTTACCAGCCTGAACAGTCTTTGAGCCTTCTGGGCTATGTAAGTTATGTTCCATTTTTCTAACCGTTTAACGTACTAATCTTACTCACTACCTAATGCCAATTTGCATATTACGACTGTTCCTAGGCATGGCACTTGTGGAAAGCAGACAAGGCATTCGATTTGTTGGACCAGACACTGCGTGGAAGTTGCAATGCAAACGAACTTCTAAAGTGTCTAACTGTTGCACTCTTGTGCGTACAAGAAGACCCAAGCGATCGCCCCACCATGTCACAGGTAGTTTTCATGCTTGGCAGCGAAATTGCATCTCTTCCAGCTCCAAAACAACCAGCATTCGTAGTCAGGCGATGCCCTTCTAGCAGAGCTTCTTCATCTAGCAAACCAGAGACATTTTCCCATAATGAGCTAACCGTTACTCTGGAGCATGGTAGATAGTAAAAGTACAAGGCTCCAAAAACGTCATTTCTACAAGTATAGGAAGCAAATTTTATGTTTATCAATACTTGTTGTGTTTAATTTTGTTTGAGTATAACCTGCATTGGGCAGTTTCTGCTCAAGAATTTCCTATTTATTCAAGATTATCTTATTTTTAAGCTCCAAGCAAAATTTTTGCTGCCAGCCGAACATTCTATCCCTGATTGTCTCTCAAGCGACGTGCAAACCTATCGAATGCTACCTTAGCAATTGAGAGGAAAATTAAGATTATCGAGTTAGGGGCACCATGCCCCTGGCTAAAGTGTTGGATGGAGTGGTTCTTAATCCCAGATTTGAGCCCTTCTAGACTCTAGGCTTGGTACTTAAAATTTTCGAAGAGATCTTCTTCGTAACTAGACCATGCTCACTAAGAAACTTTCAAAAGCTAGCTGAGGCAAACTGAATTTGCAGCTCTATTTAATTTGATGGCTATCTCACTTCGAAAACAAAAGAACCAATTTCAATTCCCCATGCTCCAAATTCATTGTTATAAGCAAACCATCGGGCTATTTTTCTTTCTTTCTTTTAGGAGCTTACGATTATGGTGATATGTAGGCGCACAAGAACTTCTAGCTGAATTATTGCCCTCTGGAGTTTGGACATCTCTAGCGCCATATCTTGGGCTTCAACAAAAATTTTGTAATTGTCAGCTTGCTTTTGAATGTTAATGCCAAACGGACTTTGGCCTAATAGTACTTCTCTTTGCTGTGGCACTCCAGCCCACTGATCTTGCTGGTGGGTTTCCAATCCATCCCTCGGTGGGCCACCTCCCATTACATTATAGAATGACTTCAAAGCTTCGAAGTTAAATGTCAATTTATTAATTTAATTTCTATTAATAATATATATAAACTTATTTTAATTAGATATTTAACAAGTATGGATGACACGGATTTAGATAACAATTCAAAAAATTTATATAATGAAATGAATAATTTATTCCTTGATATACCCTCTTTAGATCCGTATAAATGTGAAATTTCTTGCTGGACTATGGTATTATAGACATAGTAGGACCCTCGAAAGTTATAAATAAAAAAAAATAATCAGATAGGAGATATTTTGAATAATTCTAAATTAACATTTTAGAATAGAATCTTGTTTTTAAGTTTTTTTTGTTTTTTCTCTTTTGATCAGTTCTTGCTAATGGAAAATTTTTGGATTTTCAATTCTAAAGAATTTGAATTTAAACTTTAAGAAAAGAATTAGTGAGAATTATCTGTTAAATATTTAGTTAATTTAATATATAACTGTGGGGGAAATAAAAATGGTCTGATCAGGCAAACGAGAAACTGCTGGGGGCTCAGGGTGAAAGGGGAAGAAATCAATGCCCGTTTGACAAAATTAATTAATGAGGTTGAATGCAAGCTAATAGCTATATTAATATCGTGCATCCTCGTGTTCATCAGAATTGTCAAAATGCCGACTGAGAAGCAATCAAAAAGGAAATTCATCAGGTGAACACCATGTGTTTGTCATTCGTGCACTAACTTTGTTTATTTGGTGTTGACGGACAGGTGTTAGCGGTTTAGCTTGTACGCGTTGTAATTAGTTCGCGCGGGTTGGAGGGATGATTCATGCTACTTTCCTAGTTTTTCCCCGCCGCTCTCACTGCCTTCTCTGAAAGGAAATTCATCAGGTATCGTGCTTTTGCTCAATTTGTTCACAAAAGTTGACTTTGGGTGTATACGTATTCCTATTCACACCACCATACTTCCTTATTTCGGATAGCTTTTGCATCGGATAGCTTTATTCTGCTCATAAACAAGTTCGGTTTCATGACTGACCGTTTTCCAATTCTTTTTACTTTTAATTAAATATTGAAATCTACTTTTAGACCTTCATGACTACTTCTTCAACACTGTATCCCAATAATTCAATTTGTACCTAGCTAAAATTTTAAGACCACCAGCTTTACGCAAACTGTAACTTAATGATAGTTTGGTTGTTTGTTGCAGTTTGTTTCGAAAAACCCATAAAAATCAATTCATCAAATAGTTCTTTAAAGAACAAATTAATGCAATACAGACATTTCTTCTCGGGAAAGAAAATATGAATCTGGAAAAGAAAATGAAGGTTCCTCGGAAGGAAAGTTTGGTTTGGATAACAAGGCATGAATGCATGAAGTTTCTCAGCGCAGCACCCACCACCACAAGCTACATATTTTATATTTCAAATATATAATCCATGGCATATATTTTTATAAAATTTCAACCTCAATTATTGATTTTCTGCCGAGGAAGATGAAGAGCAGTAAAATTATCACATGCATTCTTCATGTGACAAGGAGTTGTGTATTTCTCAATTGCAACCAACTTTCCCAGAAAAACCAAAAGACTTCTTATCATCCTCCTTTATGAATTGTCACCCATATTTTCCCAAAATCTTCTCAAAACACTCTCAAGAAGGAAGCCATTAAGCTTCGTTATTAAGTTCTTATCCGGAAATTGCTCATGAAACCCCCAAAAAGACTCCAATTTTGTCAGGGAAGGCACTGACTCCATGTTTTCCTTAGTATACTAGTTTTCCCATTTCAATTAATTGCGTCTGCATTCACCTTTATTTGAACAAAGTTTATTACAAACTGCAAACCAACCGTCCGGCCCAAGTGACAGAAAGTCAATCTGAAAAGCCAAGCAGAAAGCTTCGTAATTGACGATGTTACCCTCAGAGCTTTGACCTAAATGACAACAATTACCCTTCATAAAACTTCTTTATCCTGTCAAATCTTTTTTCAAGTCAAAAGCAGACAGAGGAAACATTAAAAAATCCAAAAAAAAAAAAAAAAACAAACAGAACAAAACGAAAGTACCCCTGACAACAACTTCTCCGAAACAGAGGCAGTTCCAGCTCTGCAAGAATCAAAGCCGACCAGCAAGAAAGTTTTGTGTTCCTTTGCTGTCATACGTTGAGAGAACATAACCCTCCTCTTTCCAAGAAAACCTCCTCATCTCTTCTCCCTTGTATATATATATTGCACGCTTAAAATACCCCAACGCATCTCAAATACAGAAATATATATTTTTTTGAAGAAATCAAAAATATCAATCCAAGGATCAATGGCAGGGTTTGGTAAAACAGCTTCTGATTTCGAGGATTTATTGCCAGCGATGGCGGAGAAGCTGGGTGGAGAAGGGTTAATAAGGGAGCTGTGTAATGGGTTCAGGCTGTTGATGGACAAGGAGAAGGAGGTCATCACTGTGGATAGCTTGAAGAGGAATGCGGCAATGCTGGGGTTGCAAGATTTGAGAGACGATGAGCTTGTGAGCATGGTCAGAGAAGGTGATCTGGATGGTGACGGGGCTCTCAATGAGATGGAGTTCTGCGTATTGATGTTCAGATTAAGCCCTGGATTGATGGAAGAGTCCCAGTTGTTGCTTGAGGGGATTCTCGAAGACGAGCTCAGAACTGCTGGCTTCTAGTAGGAGTTTATTTAGACCCCGCCCTTTTTTCTTATTGTTCTTTTTTTTTTTTCATTTTTCTCATAGGTGACAAAAAGGGCAATGGGCAAACACTAAATGGATTAGTATTTGTAAAGGAGTACATTTATCTCCTCATCTGTTGTCAAATAATACATTGTTTTGGCATATAGTAGCTTAATATTCTTTTCAACGGCCGGCTCCCATTTAATTTTCTCCTTTCTTTATTCTTTGATCTGATATGTAGGTATTTAATGGAACAACTCAAATCCGAATAAAAGAAACCAATATCATTTCGAACCAACTGTTAATAAGCCATATTTATTTGATGGTCCTGTTATCATTCTTTTCCAGGGGTGATGAACTTTAAGTGTTGAATTTGAAGCATTGGATCTTGTTTCTTGGAAAGATTCATTCTTTTAAAGTACCAGAGGTTTCTTTCCAATTTCTCAGATTGTCGAGTTTCAATACGTACAGCATTCAACATGCTTCTAGTGCCAATCGCCAGCATAGGTGAGTCAATATTCCCCCTTGCACTGCCTTTTGCCTAACATTGTTTCAAAAATATTAATAGTTGCGGTTGGATATAGTATTCCTAATTGCTATACAATATTTTGTTATATAATCAGCAGAAAGGTCTTTTTTTAAAAAAAAAAAATTGTTTTGTTATAAATACAGTTTGCTCCATTTCTAATGCATTAATTCAACCAGGAATCATCCAGACTATGTTCGGTCCGTGTCTACTGAACCAATCATAAGACAGAAATAATTAGTGGTGTATATAAAACTAAGAACAGATTGATCTACCAATATTTAATTTCTGGTTTTCTAATTACATGCCAGCCCTCCCCCTGCCAAAAAAACACTGGTAATAATAGTTATAATTAGCTGTTAGCACATGCCAAGTTCTGTACAACCACGATGTCATTATTTTACATGTGTATATAAACAGCTTCCTTCTTATTTGGATTTGGTCTCAACTCTCTATTGTAGACTATTGGCAAGGAGATCTAGATTGGTAAAACTTTGGAAAATGGTGGAAATAGCAACAGAGGCAGCCGCAGGTCGCTGCTGTTGCTGGGTTTTCTTTTTCTTTTGATTGTCAATGCCAACTTTGAACTGTAAGTATTAGCTTTGGTCAAAAAGGGTAGGTAGTTGTCCAAGCACAAGGTCAGGGGATGCCTAGTGTGAACTGTGAAGCCCAGTGGCATTAGGAGAAGTGTAGTGCGGTTGCTAATTAAGCAATTCTTCCGCCTCATCTATACAATATTTTATAGGATTATGAAAGCCATAGTTTAAGTCTTCATTCTCTCTTAAAACTCATCTTGGATGGCTGTATTATATGCTTGAAGTAAGATACCACCTTAACCAAGGGATGAATGGAGAAATTTTATAACCAAAGTTCATTATAGGTCTGCCGCTAAACTGAAACATCTCTAAATTGCACAGTTATTTAAACATACGGGAACGTTTATATGGAGTATAGAGAACAGAAAACAAAGCATGCATTTCAATAAAACATTGTCTTTTCACCTATAATAGAAAATGAGGTAAATAATTCTTTTTATGGAAAATAGGGTAAATAATTAAATATAAGTTGAAATTATAAGAGGTTGTATAATTCTCTTACGGTATGTTTAATTCACAGAATAAACAGAAATGAAATAAAATAGTTATTATGTGATAATAAAATAAAGTGAGAATAAAATAAAATAGTTCTTACGATGAATGGAATAAGGTAAAAATAATTATTATGACTTATTACAATATTTGGTTGGTAAAAGTAATTTTCAAAAAAGAAAGAATAGAAGATAAAAAGTTAAAAATAACTTTTATTATATATGTGATTATTTATTTTTATTTTATTTTATTTTTTGAATATTAATAATTTATAATTTATCTCAAATATTACTAATTGCTAATTTAAATATCAATATTTTCTTTTTAATTTAATCACTAATATTATAAAATATTATTATTTTATTTATAATTTCAATGTTATTATGGTTATTTATTTTTATTTTATTTTATTTTTTAAATATTAATAATTTATAATTTATTTAAAATATTAATAATTGATTATTTAAATAATAATATTTCCTTATAATTTAAATGTTATTATTTATTTTTATTTTATTTTTAAATATTAATAATTTATAATTTATTTAAAATATTAATAAAGGGTCATTTAAATATTAATATTTTATTTATAATTTAATTATTAATATTATACTAATATTAATATTTTATTTACAAATATTAATATGGGTAAAGTTGTAAGTTCCTAAACTTATGAGGGCTAATTTAGGTTTAAGTCAATGTGTGACCCTCTTACCGCAATCTTTCCTTTCCAGATCCCTTACCTAAGAAAGATGAGAATCTAGAACATAACATGTTATTGGAGAGCAAATTAAATAGAATAAAGAGAATATGAAGAATTTCATGGAAAGAATCATGTAAATGATGAGATGTAATGCAATAAGTTAGAAATTCTACAATAGGAGCCGATGAGGAAGAGGATGACAATGACACATGGCAAACTTGATGACATGGTAGGGACGGCTCAATAAGTTTAAAGGTCAAAAATGAAATATTCAAATGAGGTCTTTTTTATTGAAATTAAAAAAATTATTAAAAAATAATAGTTCCTCCATCTTAGTTTTTACTACAGCAAGAATTCTTCTTAATACTTTTTTCCAATGTTCTTCATCTCTTTTTATTGGTTCTTGAACACTTTTATCAATTGTTTTATATTTCAATAATCTCATTTCTAAATCAATTCAAAAACTCATATTAGTAATATGCTCATTACTCATTGCATGACTTTTAAGCTTAGCACTAAGGTTTCTCCAATCTTTGATGCCAACATTAGGTAGTTTACTTGTACTAGAATCCAAATTAAACAATTTACAATAAAAAACAAAATACTTTATCTAAGTCTTTTGAATAAACTGATCATGTTTTTTCACGCGTCTTCTCATTTGCCAACTTTTGAATATAGTATGTAGTAGAAAAATGTATTGAAAATTCATCTTTAGGAAAATATAAATCATTAATTTTAATTAGAACTTTTTCTACTAATAAATCTCTTAAATTTGTATCAATATTTGTCCATGGACTTGGATCATGAATATTTTTAGGAATGCAATCAATTAAATTAATAAGTTGATCTTCTTCGTCATACTTTTTATGATCATTTTGAATCTTTTCATGATTTTTATGATCATTTTGAATCTCTTCATTAACTTCTTATTCTAATATTTTATCATCATTTAACCTTTTAAGATTATTAGCTTGTTTGTTTAAAGGACATTCATTAATAATTTTTGATTTGTTATTTTTATTACTTGTAAAAAATTTATCAAGTGCTCTTTTTTGAGATTGTATTAAACTTTAAATTCTTCTCTTTTTTTTAAGCTTTGAATAACTAAATTCATATTTTCAATTTCACATAGTCAAATATTTATTATGAGGTACAAAAATATTTAGATATTATAATTTTTAAATACTTTTTAAATGGCTAATATAAAATCAACAATCAAAATTTCTAATTTAAATAAATCAACTATCACATAAAATAAAGATAATATAACGATATAATATAAACTCTAAATTAAAGAAAAAAAGTTTGTAAAGATTAGAACAACAGTATCTAATTGTTGAATGCTTATTGTAAACTGTAAATTAGGTTCACAACTTTATGAAGATAATAACATAATAAACTTTTTATGTATTTTTTGAAAGAAAATTGAAGCTAAAGGAAGAAAGAGCAAATGAAAAAAGAAGAATTCAAAAGTAAATATTATACATAAAAAAATAATAAGTTTATATATAAGAAAAATTATAGCTATTAGAAATCATTAAATACGTTGATTGAGAAATAGGAGAAATAAGTGAGAAAAAATAGCTATTAGAAATGATTAAATATATATGACCGTTAGTTGATTGGAAATAAGATAATATAGTTTAGAATTAATAGTATTCTAGAAATTAGAAAGCAATAGAAAATTGAGATTTATTAAACACATAATTAAGGAAGCGAGAGAATAAGTAATTTTATTAATTATTTTTTATTTTACATTTTTTAAAATTTTTATATTCTAATATAATTAATTATATTATAATTATTATAAAATTATGAGATCTCTCCCAATTTAGTGCCTCTCCAAATTGGGGGCCTAATGTCCTTTTTTGGGTTGCTTCACCCAAGGGCCGACCCTGCTTGGATTACAAATATTTTTAGGAAAGCAATCATTTAAATTAATAAGTTGATCCTATTCATCATGATTTTTATGGTCATTTTGAATCTCTTCATGATTACTATGATCAGTTTGAATCTCTTCATTAACTTCTTGTTCTAGTATTTCATTATCATCTAACTCTCTAAGATTATTAACTTGTTCGTTTAAGGGTCATTCATTAATAATTTCTAGGTTATTATTTTATTTCTTGAAAAAAATTTATCAGCTGCTCCTTTTTGAGATTGTTCTAGCTTTTTGATTTGACATATTCAAATATTTATTATGAGATTCAAAAATATTTAACTATTATAATTATCTTATATTTTTTAAATAGCTAATATAAAATCAACAATCAAATTTCTAATTCAAATAAATCAACTATCACATAAAATAAAGATAATATAATAATATAATATAAACTCTAAATTAAAGTAAAAAAGTTTGTAAAGATTAGAACAATAGTACCTAATTGTTGAATGATTATTGCAAACTGCAAATTAGACTTATGGTTTTATAAAGATAATAAACAAATAGACTTCTTGTGTATTCTTTGGAGAAAAATTGAAGTTAAAGAAAGAAAGAGCAAATGAGAAAAGAAGAATTCAAAAGTATATATTATAAATTTAAAAAATAGCTTTAAAAAATACATTAAAAAATAATTAGTTTTATATATAAAAAATAGCTATTGAAAATCATTAAATATGTTGATTGGAAATAGGAGAAATAAGTGTGAAAAAAAAACTGTTGGAGATGATTAAATACATATGATCCTTAGTTGATTGGAAATAAGAGAATATAATTGAGAATAAATAGCATTCTAGAAATTATAAAGTGATAGAAAATTGAAATTTATTATACTCATAATTAAGGAAGTGAGAGAATAAGTAATTTTATTAATTATTTTTTATTTTTATATTTTAATATATTTTTAATATAATTAATTATATTATAATTATTATAAAATTATACCGCCTCTCCAAATTTGAGGTTTCTTCGGTCTAAGTCCTTGCTTGGGTGACTTCACTCAAGGGCTAG